ATTTAAATTTTGTCTTTAATTAATTATTATTTTTTAAGGTAAAAATATTTTTTTCTACCTTAACTATTTTCTTCTACCTTAACTTTATTAACAAAAAATTTACAACTACAATGAAATGGAGGGGGTATATCATTTTTATAAACTTTCAATCTTATGTCTTGTGATACTTATTTTAAAAATAACTATAGTTTTTTAATTTAAAATTTGTCTTTAATTAATTAATATTTTTTAGGTTAAACCCCCATTTTGGTCTCTCAACTATTGTATGGACCCCTGATTTAGCACCTCAACTCAAAAAATCACTGATTTGGTTCTCATTGTTTACCATTTTGGCCCCAATTTGGTCCTTCTGTTAAAAATTAGCCTACGTGTTTTGTTATTTGACATGAGATAGATTATATGTAAAAATATTTTAACACATAAGATGTATAGCATGGCAAAAAAAATGAAATGGCAAGAAAAAAACCTTAAAAATTTTCCTTTTTTTTTTTTTTCTTCCTTTGTTTTTCCTTTTTCCCTTTCTTCTTCCTCTTCCTTGCCTTTTTGCTACTATAAACCCTAACACCCGAAACCACCTTTGATTTTCCTCACTAAATCAATTCACCTTCTTCACCTCTTTCTCTTCCAGATAAGGTTGTTCGTTGCCCATTGCTTCTGCACCTGACAGATCTAGGACCACCTCAAATCAAATCTCAAAATATACCCTAATTCATTGGAATATGGTGAATCTAAGAAAAACTCAAGCTAAGACTCAAACCCAGATCTTCTTTATCAACCATCATGTTTTCTCTCTCACCAAACAAGATCCAGGAAACAAAGTTCGTTTCAAAATTTCAAATCTAAGAGGAAAAGAGGAGAAAAGCTGTTGGGTTTGAAGGAACCCAATAGTTGTTGGGTTCAAAGTTCTTGGCTCTACTCCTTACTCTGCCTTGGGGAAGGGTTTGCAAAAGGCAAAGGAAAGGAAGAGGAAAGAGAACCCAAATTTGGTGTCGAGGAAGGGAAAGAGAAAATGAAACTTGCTGGGGGAAGAAGATGAACAACTGCTGCGTTTAATCGAACCCAGATCTGGTGTTGGGGAAGGGAGAGAGAATGAAACTTGCTGGGGGAAAAAGATGAACAACCAAAGAGGCTGGAGATGAAAAGGAAGGGGGAACAAAAGGAGAAATGAAAGAAATTGATGTGTGGATGAAGAAGAGGGTAAAAAAGTAATTTTAATTTTATAATTAGTTTGAAATATTTTAATTTTTAGCTGGAAATTACGTGTCAAACTATTTTTATATGTCATCTTTTTCCATCAAGTAACCAAACACGTAGTGGAAAATTTAACAGAAGGATCAAGTTAAGGCCAAAATGATAAACATTATAGACCAAATCAGGGATTTTTTGAGTTCAAAGACTAAATTGACAGTTTGTGCAATAGTTGAGGGACCAAAATGGGGATTTAACTTATTTTTTAAGGTAAAAATATTTTTTTCTATCTTAACTATTTTCTTATCCCTTAACTTTATTAACAAAGTTCTCTTTTTATCTTTATCTATTTTTTAGGATAATATAAATAAATATATAAATTATCTCTAAATTCTTTGTTTATTGAAAGGTTAAACCCTAATTTGGTCCCTCAACTATTATATGGACCCTCAATTTGGTTCTAAACTAAAAAAATCCCTGATTTGATCCATATTGTTTACCGATTTAGCTTCAAGTTGGTCCTTTCGTTAACAAACAGTTGACGATCTATTACTTAACGACAAAAAACCATTATTTAACAGTCATGTGTCACGTTAATAATGAGGCACGTCATATATTTTTTACGAAAAGACCAACTTGGGATCAATCTGATAAATAGTAAAGACCAAAATCAAGAATTTTTTTAGTTTAGGGACTAAATTAGTGTCCATATAATAATTGAGGAACCAAATTGAACATTTAACCTTATTGAAAAAGTGTAAAAAAATAGTTATTATTTCATTTGTTAATTTCGTGTTGTATCATATTGTAATTATATTGTTTTATCCTTTATTATATCAAAATATTAAATATTAATTAAAATTAATAAAATTATATTAAAAATTAATTAAAAATTAAAAATTTAAATTTTTAAATAATGTATCATGTAAAAAGAGTCCCTCCAAACACTAATAAATGAAACCTTATATCTAAGCTAATTATTTGAAGAAAAGGACAAAACTAAAGGGGAATGACGGACGCGTTGCTCGTGCGCTATTTACGCGCCTTTCATTCAACACCAAGTCAGTGCTTACTTGGCACCTACCTTGTTGGCTTGTTCTAGATGGTTGTCGATCTCATTGACCATTGCCCTTGAAAACACATTTTCTATTAATTTTAAATAAAAAAGTACTGCATAATTTTTTTCTTATAAGAAGTGTTGTGTATAGTTTAAATTACTAAATGAAAGACTAACCTTCTAATATTGAGATTTTCTTTTCATCTAATGATTTATTTTATACATAAGTTATTATATACAAAATTACAAAATAAAAAACTCATTTAAATTGGGTGATTTTTTTGGCCCAAAAATTGTGATTAATTGAGCTTTGTCAACTACTAATAAAAAAAAAATGTCAAGAGCTCAAAAAAGGGCAAAAAAATGCATGAACTCAACAGGGTGGGGTAGACATGAATCATTATCCACTAAAGTAGAGCACCCGCCATTTACTAAAAGCCAACTGCGCTTGCAGTTGTATAATTCAGGTCCAACTCATGAGAAAGTCTACTATGTCACGGCGACACCACATAAGATGTGTCTCAAACCTTGACATGTAATCATTTGTGGGCCACAAAACACTCAACGTAATGTGCCTTCCTCTTTCTTTTTCTGCCATTTGCTTTCCTACATCCTTCTCCTTTTTGTGTTCCACCTTTACAGAGTTACTTGTAGGCCAACTTAATCTCTTTTTTCCAAGCCTAATACATCAAATTAATTTGTAAATCTATCAGCTAGCTCCATCAATTTCTCTCTAAAATCTTCATTCTAGGCAAGAAGAAGATGCATAAAAATTGGGTAATTTACTGATGGTTTGGGGTCATCCAAAAGTGGAAATCATTTTTATGTTAACTTTATTTTTTGGATAATGCTCAATGCTAACTCCAAAATTCCAGCGTCTTCTAAATCTATGTCTTTTTCAAAGGGGTTCAAGGTGGAAATCCCAACAGTGGTGTCTATATTCCCAACTCCCATATATTATGCCTGCCCAAATGAAGTCCAGTGGCATGAAATATCTTAGATAAATGCAGGGGCTAGCTTTTACATGGTTGGTAGAGACCCTGCTGTTATGGGCCATTAATTGAGAAAGAGATTCACATAATGCTTGATCATGGAACAAGGTATATATTAAGTCCGGTTCTAGGACTTAAATGGCTAAACATCCTTTCTTTTAAGGTACACGTAAGATTCAGGATTCATTGTGTAGGCTGAAACTATGGCATTACTCTGCCACATAAATAAATGAAATCGTTGATCCTTATCAATTAATTTTTATTCAGGTTGCTGCATTTGATAAGAACAAGGATAATTGACATTATTTGATTCAATAAGCATTCAAAACTTCTTCATATTGGGCACCAAGGTACCCTTTCTCCATATACTATTGAGATTCATCTTGCTTCAGTGGTTGGAAAGTGCTTATCAAACGTTACAGTAGTAACTTATTCATCTCTACGGTATGTTGCAAATTGATTTTTGATAATGCTTTTGATTACATTCGAGCAAAAATTAAATATGTTGAACTATCCATGTCAAAAGAACCAAATTATTTTATAATATGTAGGAAATATTTCATATATAATCTATACAGATAGGATGGAGGAAAATGTGAATCGAATTACAAGATATCTATGCAGAAATTTAAAAAAAGAATGAATTATAGTCTATACAAACAAAAAGGAGAAATCTGAAACAAATTACAAGATATGCCTGTAGAAATTTAATGAATTAATGAAATAATATTGAAATTTGGAAGTATTATGTGCGCTTCTTCCATTTGAGATAGCTGAAAATGGGTCTCTCTGGCACCGGTATGCACTTGACGATCCAGCCAATAGGCCAAGAGACAGCAGCCATGGCGATGCAGGCGCCCCATTGCCCCCAATTCAATCTCTCTGTACCTGCAAAGCGCTTTAGAAACTCCACCATCACCACTTGAAGAACAATGGTCATCCCGACGATCCCTAAAAATAGCCTGTTCTTATGAATACCCTTGAACACATTCTTCTTTTCCAGCTTCCTCGCGTTGAATTCATTGAAAACTTGGCAGAGCACAAAAGTGTTGAAAATCAAGGTGTCATTCACGGCTTTAGTTACTCCAAATATTGATTCTCCTTTGAATTGCAGGGTCAGAAGCACTGTAACTTGGTAAAGAGCTTGAGCTAGGAGGTTCCTCCACATGGTATTGGTAATCAAAGGCTCTGTGCGGCCAACAGGTGGCTTCTTCATCAGCTCCTCGGTGGGCTTCTCTGTAGCTAGAGCCAGAGCACCCAATGTGTCCATGATCAAGTTCACCCACAAAAGTTGGACTGCCGTTAAAGGAACTTCTCCAGCATAAATCGCTGCCACGAAGTTGATCACCAGAGCAGCAACATTTACTGTCAGCTGGAATTGAATGAATTTTTGTATGTTGGTGTAAACGCATCTTCCCCACTTCAAAACGGTGGCCACAGAAGCGAATTTGTCATCCAGGATGACAATATCGGAGCTCTCTTTCGCAACTTCGGTCCCCTGAATCCCCATTGACAATCCAATGTCAGCTTCTTTAAGTGCTGGAGCATCATTGGTACCATCACCAGTGACTGCAACTACATGCCCTTTCTGTTTCAAGCACTGCACCATGAGAAGTTTGTCAAAGGGAGATGATCTTGCCATAATGCAGATCTTCTCCACCTTCTCCATCCTCTCCTCCGGTGTATAATTCCGGAATACCTCGCCTTCCACAACGGCTCCACTATCCACGTCCTGACCCGGCTGGAGAATCCCACATTCAGTGGCAATAGCTCTTGCTGTGAAGACGTTGTCGCCAGTAATCATCTTGATGTTCACTCCAGCATACTGGCAGTCCTCCACAGCCTTCTTCACCCCTGGCCGACATGGATCCTTGATACCCACAAGTCCCAACAGGGTCATGTTTTCTTCTTGAAGCTTTTTCTTCTCTTTCACATCTTCTTCCTCTGTTTCTGCAACTTGTTTGTGAGCGAAAGCAATGCACCGAAGACTGCTTGCTGCCATTCCCTGAATAATTTTCTTGAATTCCATCCTTTCTTCTCCATTAAGATCTTTCATAACTCCTGAAGCATCATAGTAGCTTGAGCACATAGCCAAAATCATTTCTGCTGCTCCTTTCCAATGAACGTGAACTGTGTTATCTTCTTTTTTCTTGATCAGAACTCCACTCTTTTTCTTTTGAGAATTAAAAGCTTCCACAAAGAGAATTGTGAAATTCCTCTTCATTTCCTCCATGTCCATCTTCATCTCCAGAACAGCCCAAGAAAGAAATGCTTTTTCCGTTGGACTTCCAGAGAATTCGGATTCCGATCCGGAAGAGCCTCTGTAAACACCTCCGGTTGTGTTCAGAGAAACTCCTTGATGAATCAAGTTAACAACAAATGGAGAAATTGAAGAAGAAACTTCAACAATGGTTTCCTTTCCCTGCCAAAACTTTGTCACCCTCATCTGATTAAGCGTAAGAGTACCTGTTTTGTCTGTGCAAATTGTGGTGGCAGACCCCATAGTTTCACAAGCAGAAAGCGTCCGGACCATCGCCTGATCCGCCATCATTCTCTTCATTGAATAAGCCAAAGTCAGCGTAACAGCCAATGGCAGCCCTTCTGGGATAGCAACAACGACGATGGTAACGGCAGCAGCAACTATCCCCACCACAGCATTCAGTATATCATCTGCTTTTGTGCTGCTACCGTTGAACTCTGTTTTTCCATTCTCATCCCTTGTATTGCCGGTGAAGTAACGAACCAACAACACTACAAGGACCATGAAAGCCACTGCCAAACCAACCTTACCTATTGCGGACGTTAGCTTGTTTAACCGGACCTGCAGCGGCGTCTGCTCGTTGTTGTCACCCGGCAATTGGCTCATCATCTGGCCCCAGGTCGTGTTCATTCCAACGGAAGTGACAAGCATCCGAGCATACCCATCAACCACCTTGGTACCAGAAATCAAGAACGG